CCGCGTGGCCTTGACCCCTTCCAGGTATGGGGCATCCACAACATCTCTGGGCAACCTGTTCCAGTGCCTCACCACCCTCTGCGGGCAGAATTTTGTCCTGATATCTAATCTAAATCTCCCTGCTTTCAACTCCTCCTGTATCTACAAACTACATGCCCTTGTAAAAAGACACACCCTCCCCCACCCAGTTTTCTTACTTTTTCATTGCCTTGGAAGATTCTGGTTAGCTTTTGTTTAGTTTTGTCAGCTTTATCATTTCAATTTTTCAAATTGAAAAATTTCTGCATGTCTCGGAAACAAAACAGCAAACGAAAGTGGAAAACAAAATTGAAAACCTCTATAGCTGAATTTTTTTCAATGTTCAAAGAAAAATCAAGCCAAACCAGTGATATTTGTACATGTGCATGTTTATACATATTTTTGTGTAACATGCCATTCTTTCCAAAGGAAAGTATCTTTTTTTTTCCTCCTACCATCTGTAGTAAAATGTCGATGGCACAGTTATGGTGTATACAATGCCTTTTAGGAAGTTTTCTACACAAATTTCCAGAGTTAGATAACTACTTTATCGTGTTAAAAGAATGTGTACAATGAATCCATATGTTGGTATTGTCTTCCCAGGGCTTGTGTTTTAGAGATGTCCCGTTCAGTAAAATAATCTTGTAGAGTGCTCACAGGCAGCTTATTACCTTCTTACAGAGTTTTGTCTACCTGCAAAGGACAGTGAATTGATGGCAATAGCTTCAGAAAAAATGGCTGAAGAACCTGTAACAGTAAAGATTTGTCCCAAACCCACACCCCTTGCTGTATACAGGGTATGACAAAGCTCATACTACCATAACCTCACTGTAACTAGCACTTGTGCCAGTTAGATGGAAAATAGTAGATGTTTATGTCCATCTAATATGGATCACATCTTCCTGGGAATTGACATTAACAGACCTGTAACATCAAAGAGTAAACACTTCTTTAATGAATTCTCTTAATTGTTTTGAAGAAAGGGTTAATAAGGAATATTTCTCAGCACAGTTGTATACATTATTACTTGGTAGGGATTACTGATGGTGGTCTTTAGATGTGACACACAGTCCAGACAGCAAAATATCATAATTGAGGAGTGGGGTAATGTCTCCCCTTGCCCAACAACAGCACAGGGACTTGACATTAAACACAGCCCAGGAAATAATGTTCACTAATTCAGCTCTCTCATTCATATCAAGCCAGGGTACTTCAATCTCTCCAACTTCCACAGAGCTCCTGGCTTTCCAGGGACACCACAAAGTTTGGTAGCAGCCCAAACCACACCTATCAGTGGTCCCTTAAATGTAGGTTTGCAACAGCATTAGGAAGATAAAAATCTATCATGCCATTTTCCCTCCTGTACA